CTCAAACCGCTCAGGTATCGTGAAGATTTCAGAATCGAATGCCCCGAACACACATTAAAAATGAGGACAGCCGCCAAGTTGGCCTGGGAACAAAAGTTGACCGCGGTGGCAGATTGGATTGCGAACTTAACTTGCGTTTTGTAATGTCCGCTTATTTGCGCAGCGTGCAACGCACCGACGCGCACGCGCGCGCGCTCGCTGCTGCGCGTGGTGGTATTTGTATTGTCCGCGGTCGGACAGTCGCAATGTTGGCCTGGGAACTAAAATGAACCTGTAGCGGTGACCGATTGGATCTCCAATTTACTGTGCGATTGTTATATGTCCGTTTACTGGTGCAGCCTGCAACGCGCCGACGCGCGCGTGATGGTTTCGGTATCGTCCGCAGCAGGGCAGTCGCCATGCGGGCCTGGGAATTAACGTGAAGCCGTAGCGGCAATCGATTCGATTTCCAATTTAGCTTGCGGTTTTGGCATGTCCGTCGATTGGTTCAGCGTGCAACGCGCTGGCGCGCGCGCACGCATTGTGGCTTATGTATTGTCCTCACCGGGACAGCCGCCATGTTGGCCTGACAACGAACGTGGGCCTTTAGCGGTGGCCGGTTTCCAGCTTAACTAGTAGTTCTTTCATGCTCGTCTATTGGTGCAACGTACAACGCGCCGACGCGCTCGTTGTCTAGCCCTAGCCTCTAGTCTCCATGGTCTCTGCCCCCCCCAGCCTTGCCGCAGCCCTGGGCATCTGCCCTGTCCAGCAAGATCTCCCATATGTACGTTTCGTTGTTCGTATTCATTTTGTTTTTTCCGCCCAATCTTATTTTTGCGTTTGTGCCAAGTGTTTTTCCGTTGTTGCCCAAACTCTAGCCAGAATCCCACCGTAGCCCTTAGGCCGTGGCCTTCGCCGCAGCCCGAGGCTTCTGCCCTACCCCAGCCACTGTTCTCGATCATTCGTTTCGTTGTTCGTTTCGTCCTTCGTTGTGCTAACCGTTTTGCTTTGCCTTAGCCCCCGCCAGCGTTCTAGGTTTTGATTTTGCTCATATGGTATGTGATTTTGTTGTTGCGCCTGGTTCAATATTTTCAGCGGCCGCCCTGCCCCACGGCCGGAAAAGCTTTTGTGCGTTATTTTGTTTTCATTCGATGCCGCTGGTTTTGCCCCTGGTCCGAGCCCGTAAGGCCGCGCACGCGGGCCATGGAATCTTTTTTTGATTTGTTCGATGGCCCTCGTAAGCTCGCGGCCATGAGGTAATCGCGGACTTCCGCCGCCGAACGAGGCGGCACCTGCCGCATTTTTGGGGAGGGCACCTCCCCCGATCCATGGATTTGGCGACCGCGCGCCAAATCCACGGATCGCTAATCCATGTCTGCGCGCCCCCGAGGCTGGGGCATGGCAGGGCACGGCCGTTTCACGTCGTGTCGGCAGGCGGCGGCCCCGCCGCGGGCGTCCCCCGTGGAACGCCGCCGGCGACGCAGAGGCCGGTCCACAGTGGACGATCGCAGGCCTGGGAGGCTGACACCAACACCAATATCAGCGGTGTGCCTCCACCGAGGGCGGTAATGTTCTGGCTTCCAAGGTGACCGAAATATTACCGCCAACACCGAGATCGAGGATCATCTCCCCCCCTGTGGAGGCAACCCCCTGTGTTGGTGCTGGTGCCCATGTCAGGCCTCCAAGACGATCTGCTTCGGAAAGCCGCCGATCGTTCAAGGTCGAACGATCCACGTGGTGCCAGAAACCAACGCGCGGATCGTCACGACACGAAGCTGCCGCAGCTCCATCCCAACCCCGACTGGGACAGGGCAAGGCGTAGCTCTCCCAGAAGCGTCGCCTCCTGCCGGGGAGGGTCGCCGCGGAGCCCGGCAGGAGACGGCAGCCATCCCCAGCTGGGAGGGTCGCCCTGCGACCCGACGTTGCGACAGAAGCTGCAGCATCGTGAAAAGTAACGACCGGAGACCTGGACCCCGTCTTCCTGCGGCATGCTTCGAGCCAGATGTTTGCCTCCCCCATGCCTCTCCTCCTCATCGTCCTCCGGGCCCTGCTCCTCCATCTTCCCCTCCTCATCGTCCTCCAGGTTCTGCTCCTCCTCATCCTCTTGCTGCTCCTCCTCCTGCTCCTCCTCCTCCTCCTCCTCCTCCTCCTCCTCCTCCTCCTCCTCCTCCTCCTCCCCCGCTGGCTCTGCGCCGTCCTCTGGCAGGCAGATGCACGCCTACCTCCCCCATCCCCCATCGCCCCCCCCTCCTCCATCCTCCTCCAACCTCCGACGATCCTCCGTCCTCCAGCCTCCTTCCGCGCCCGGCGCCCAGCGCGTACAGCGGAGACCCACGCCAAGAAACGCCCTGCTTGCCTCCAGGGTGCCCTGGGTTTCTTGGGTTTCGGTGTTTTCTTTGCGAGGGAAGGCGTGACGTTCCCACACCAAGAGTCAGGGGGCGTCCTGGGGCCTCAGGGTTGGGTTTCTTGTGGCAGGTGCCTTGTGGTCGAGCTCCTCCTGTATGGCCTCTCTCTTCCCCGTTCCCCGTCCTCCAGCCTCAACCCACATCAGTCCTCCCCCCCCCATCCCCCCTTGAGATCTGACATCGCGAAACAAAAATGCAACATCGCGGGCAGTCGCGGGGCCCCACCCTTCCTGCGGCATTTTTCGAGCCGGATCAACCCGCGAGGGCCCCCTGGGGCCCGAATCAGATCAAGATCGCTCGTGCTATTGCGGAAAAGCTGCGACGCGAACGAGTGCTTTCAAGGGAGGAAAAACCAACCGGACCGGACAATCGGCGTTTACTAAACGGTCTTGGGCGTTTGCAAAACAGCCCTGCCTTGTTCGATTCTTTCTCTGGGCGCGCTTGCTAAACGACTTCGCGTGTCGGGGTGGTGATGTTTGACTTCTATGCTTGCGCTTGGGCGCTCCGACTTGTCTCCCTAAGGAATTGCTTGGTGTGTCGAGGGTTCGCCTCGTTGCCGCCCGTTGCCGCCCTTGGGGGGTACGTCGAGCATTCGCCACTTTGCCGCCCGTTGCCGCCTTGGGGGGTATGCCGCCCGTTGCAGCCTCGGGGGGTGCTCCGAGGATTCACTACGCTGCCGCCCGCTGCCGCCCACTGCCGCCGCAATCCGCTGCACATGTGCAGCAGCTCTCTCTGTCTGGGGCCCACACTGGCAGAAAGTCTGGTCCAGAGCTCGGACCCCTCGGGCTCGCAGAGCACAGCCCACCAGATCTGTTCGGGCGGGGTGGGGTTTTTGAGCAGGAACCGACCGTCCCGGCATTCCTATAGGCCTACCACGACATGTGCTCAAAACCTAAACTGCTCTTATAGCCCAAACAGTTTTTCTTTGAACATAAACCCGATGTGTTAAACCAAGATTGTCTCAGCCAGAAACGTTCTAAGAACATCCCGCGGAACCACAACAAGTTCTCGAAACATTGTCTGGTAGGCCTATAGGCACGCCAGGACGCTTCTCGGGGGCGGCAAAGAGGGGGGTGATGACCAGGGGGGGGTGGATATCATGGCGTGGGCCATGATATCGCACCAGATCTCATTGCGCCTCTTCTTGTTTCATTGCGTCCCCAGCCCCCCCTTGGGCCGCGCACGTGCCGCTGGTCATAATTTGCACCCCCCCCTCTTGGACGCCCCCCTCTTGGCCGCCCCCGAGCTTCGCCACTGCTCGGGATGTTTCGCCATGAGAGTTCGGACGCCTCGGGCTCGCTGCGTCGATCCAGCCGGACCCCATCAGACCAAGCCGCAGCGCCCGCGCGACGGAGGGGAGCGGCGCGCCGCGGGCCTGGCCCTTGGCAGCGTGCGCAGCCCCCCGATCGTTGTGGAGGACGATCAATGGAGAGGAAGCACGTTGCCATATACTTTCCAGATGCCAAGAACATGTATTACACATGTTTTACGCATGTTAAAAACATGCTCAAAACATGTTCAGAACATTCAATTAGGGTGTCCATTGTCGTGGCATCCACAAACCTATCGGGTCGGCCCTTGTGCGTCTTGGCCACGCCCTCGTGGGCTGGCGAACAGCCGTAAGTCGGGCCTGTCCCTCTACAGGAGGAACATCCAGAAATAATCTAAACAAATCGTATGGGGACGATGTTTGGAGTATTTTGTGATGATGTTTGAACTTTCGTTCTGAGCATGTTTTGAAATTTCGTCCAGAATCTGCCTGTATGGGGGACATGCCCGACCAAACCCTTGGATCGGCCCTTGTTCGTCTTGGCCACGCCCTCGTGGGCTGGCGAATAGCGTCAGGAATCAGCGGACGAAACACGGTATAGAAAAGAGACTGTTCTGCCATTGGGAACGCCCGTCTTAGGGCGGCTGGATCGGTTGTACCCCGACGTGCCGCCGTGCGGGCATGAATTGTTCAGTCGCCCTAAGGCAGGCATCCCCGATGGTGGAGCCAGTTTATGTCATGGTGTACCGTTACTCGTCCGCTAAAGGAAGGGCGCGCCCCCCTTGCCTCGGCCCAATGCCCTTCGTTGGATTATGCCTAGTGGAAGTCGTCTGGTTTCGGTCATAAACCTCCGAGGGGAATCCGTGCTCGCGATCTTCTCTTCGACAACAACTTGTGGCAATCATATTCGCATGATTAGGTGGACCAGTAGTGCTCTGGGGCTGGAAGGGGCGGCCGGAAGAAACGGCAGAGTAGTGGATGAGGTGGTGGCGCGTCGCAGCGACTGAACGTGCGCACTTACACGCTCGTGTGCACGGGCGATCCATTTACTTGGGGGCCCTGGGCGGCCTCGGACGGCCCCGGGGGAGGGACCCTAGACGGTCAAAGACGCCTCCTGGACCAGCCCACGACGGCCCTGGAGGGCCCTCGGGTTCCTTCGGGGGGCGTCCCTAATCCGAGGCGCCCGTACTTAGACTGCCTAAGATTAAGTCGGGCCTGTCCCTGCACAGGAGGAATATTCAAAAACAGTCAAAGAATACTCAGGGTACGATTTTTCCATTGTTTTTGACAATTTGTGTTTATGGTTTGACTATTTTTTGTTTTCCCCCAGAAGTCTGTAGGATGACATGCCCGACCTAAGCCTGAGATTGCCTCAGGACGGCGCCTCCGCGGCCAGCTCGGTTCAAGCGTACATCCTTGGCCCGAGGCGCGCCACCGCCTGCACGACGCAGCAGAACCTTCGAAGCCGATCCTTAGATCCGGGCGTTGAAAGACTGTGCCACAACGGGCGATGATGCCCTGCTTCGAGCCCTGGGACCCCCACGGATCGACCTGGTTCGAAAAATGCCGCCGCAAGATGGGGTTCAGGGTTCAGGCCTCCTTCCTCCTCCCTCCTCCCTCCTCCCTCCTTCCTTCTCCTCCTTCGCTCCTCCCTCCTCCTCCCTCCTCCTTCCTAGCTTCTCCCTCCTCCCTACTCCCTCCTCCCTCCTCCCTCCTCCCTCCCTCCTCCCTCCTCCTCCTCCTCCTCCTCCTCCTCCTCCTCCTCCTCCTCCTCCTCCTCCGCCTCCTTGGGGTCCCAAACACTAGAGGTCGCTTAGGAGTCTCATGTGTAATGTACACTGGCCGCAGGCGCGAGTGCACGGACACGGCATGCGGCATGCACCCCTATGGTAAGTGCAGGTTGTGCATGGAGGAGGAGGGTACTTTGCGGCACTGTCATTTTCACTGCGTGGCTCACTCGGGGCTTCGCCGGGACGGTGTTTCAAATTGGTTGATGCAGAGGGCCATACGTGTCAAGGCTAGCGGGGACGAGTTGGCAGAGAGATTCACACGCTGCATTTTCCCATCACCGCTCGTGTTCATCCCAGCTGGAAGTCCAGAGCAGGAGATTTTTTTGATAAATCGACCTGTGACGGGCCGGCTGTCGGGCCTGATCTTTTCGGATGGAGCGGCCCTCTGGCCAGGTATCCTTGGTGTTTCTAGGGCTGGATGGGAGACGTTGTGGCTGGAGCTTACGGCCCCGTGCCGTTCAGGCGCGGGCCGCGCCAGACGGCTAAATATGGGGAGGACTACGCGGTCTTCATGCTAACTCAGTGCGCTATGGCACCGATAGATCTCTACTCGGATTGCCTCGGAACTTTAAACGTTCTCTGGGGTGGTCCTGGCTCGGGGGCGTCTGCGGGAGGGCCGCGGGCTCACCTGTGGGCGCCTTTTTGGAGCAGCTTCGACGTTGGAGACGTCAAAGTGTTTAAGACGGTTGCGCATTGTACCATTGCCGACGTCCACAACGGTAAGACTACCATTTGGGAGAAAAAGGCGAACGATTCAGCAAATCAGTATGCCAAATTTGGCGCTCTGAAGCACTCTGTCCGCGAGGCGGACGTTGATCTGTATAGGGGTTTCAGACGCCTCGCGATGGAGAGCGCGAGATGGGCAGCGCAGCTTGAGATGCACTTGCAAGAGTTGGAAAGAAGTAGGCAAGACACGGTAGGATTGGATTCCGACGCCATCCAGCTAATTCCCGATACGCTGGAGCGGCCATCCCAGCTGGAGCCCGTGCAAGCGGCTTCCGATGATTAAGAGACGGGTGACGGGTCGGACGGGGGTGGGAGGCTTGATTGGGTCGATCTGACCACGAACGCGTTTTATATTTGTGGGCACGCTCTCATGAGATGCGAAGTGACATCCCCGCAGAGGGCGGGAGACATTATTGTGTTTTGTTGTCGACGTGGTGGGTATTGCCAGGATTATAAGCCTGGGGAGTCTTTGAAGGCGGATTGCAAGGGACGGCCCAGGACTCCCCAGAAAGAGTCCGCGCTGAAGCGAATTCGTGACGGCAAGCACCCCCATTACCGAGCAACCACGAAGCATCTGTTGCTGTCGGGCTCTCGGGGTCTGAGCGAGACGGAACGAGACTTGATGTCTGTGCGCGTCCGTCCATCTCGCGCCCTGCCGCCAGCACAGGTAGGCAAGGCCTCGACAGGATACGCTTCGAAGGAACAGGCCCTGGAGGCATTCGGCTTGCTCGAGTGTGACCTCGCCCAGGTGCGGGCTTTGGGCGAGGCGGCTAGGCGGCCGCCGGAGGAAGGAGAGGATGAGGGGTCCTCTGAATCCGATGGCGATGTGTTTTGATTGTTTTTAAGCTGACTTTAGGTCGCTCCACAGCATCAACAACAACAACCTCCTCCTCCTCCTCCTCCTCCCTCCTCCCTCCTCCTCCTCCTCCTCCTCCTCCTCCTCCTCCTCCTCCTCCTCCTCCTCCCTCCTCCTCCTCCTCCTCCTCCTCCTCCTCATCCTCCTCCTCCTCCTCCTCCTCCTTTCCTCCTCCTCCTCCTCCTCCTCCTCCTCCTCCTCCTCCTCCTCCTCCTCCCTCTTCCCTCCTCCCTCCTTGATTTCTCGCGATGCTCATTTTTGGGGGCAGCGCCTGATCTCAGGGAACGGGAAGCGGACCCGACCTGGCATCCCTTGCCCCGGGCCTTTCGCTCGCCAGCTCCGCACGCCGATAGGTCAAGCAGTGGGCCCAGACCTCAAACGAGGTGCCTCTTTCCGCCCGCGGCCCCCGAGGGGTACCGGCCCCTTCTCCATGGGGCAGCTGTTTGCTCGGATCCAGGCCTGATGGCCCCGGGGCCCGATAATGGTCCCACCCTGAGTCCCGGTCCGCCAAGCTTTGATAGATTCTCCGATAAAAGATCCAAGAGATCCAGGGTGTTGAAAAGATCAAGACTCAGACTTTTCGCAAATTTCGGCCCCCAGAGGCCCTCGCCGGGCCTCGGGACCTTGAAAAAATGGCCCAGGATGACAAACCGGTCCTGGGGAATGTTGTCGAGTCTTCCTTCCGGGGACCCCGCTTTTAAAATCGTGTCCAGAATGCACCCCGAACGATGCGAAAACGTAGGGCGGAAATGTCCGCCGAGGGCGGATGTTTCCACAGAAATCTAGCAGAAGCAGCGTCGGCAACGCAGGGCGGAACTCGACATCGAAGGAGCCAGAAGAGTGGAGCCGACACTTCTCCACCCTCCCTGCGAAGGCGCCCCGAACCGTGCGGCGGATCCGGAGCCAGCGTGCAGCTTCTCGCCCCCCAGATCCATGCCTGATGGCCCCAGACCCCCGACGTCGTGACTTGTGTCCCAACGTCGACCCCGCGAGGTCTGGACCCCTTCCCCGGGACCGCTTTCTCGCCCCGGGTCGTTTTCTGACGGCCCCGAGGCCCGGGAAGGGCCCCCGGAGGGCGACAATATGGAAAAACACACAAAAAAAACGCCCGTCGTGATTTGTCCACAGCGCGAGGAGGTCTGGGGCGGGGGGGGGCCCGACAACGGGCCCGCGGAGGGCCGAGCTCGAGGCCCAGCGCTGGGAGGGCGCGCACCGCGCCGTCGGAGAGCTTGGGGGGGGGCGCCCCTCCGCATGGCGGCCGCGCTCGCGCCGGGCGCGGGGCCGCCCTGCCGCCAGGACTCGGCTGCGCGCGGGGGGGGGGCCCTTCGCCGGAGCGGCCTTGTGATGCGGGCTTGCGTCGGGCCTGTCCCTTTATACAGGAGCAAGGTTCGCAAATAGTAGAGAAGTGGTCTGGGAGCGGTTTTCCGACTCATGGTTGGCCATGTTTGAATCGTTGTTGGCTAGCTGAACGTTCCGTCCAGAATCCGCTTGTAGGAGGGCAGGCCCGACCTAAATGCAGGCCCGCAATGGGGTCCCCTCTAGCAGCGGCCTGCGCGCTTGGGTGTGGCCTGCCCGCTGTCCCCCAGAGCATCGCACGGAAGGTCGCTCTTGTCCAGGTATCGCTCCTGCCTTGCAGGCCTCCTGGGCGGGGTCCGCGCAGATGGGGTCGAATGATCACGCCGCATCGCCGACGCATCGCCCATGCGGTTCGATTTTCTCCACGCCGACGTCGCCGATGCACCGCCGATGCATCGGCGGTACGCGGCATGATCCTGCCCCGTCTACAGTCGAAACCAATGATAAGGACGGGTGACCCTCCCAAGGGGCCCCCTGCATCCTTGCCTCTTCGGTCCATCGTGGATCGCTCCCGACGGCCATCCCCGCTCGACAGGCTTCGACGTGGGTGTCCGAGAGGGGCCTGCAATCCTGAAGTCGGGCATGTCCCCCTACAGGTGGGAAATCCAAAAATAGTTTAAAGCAGTCTGGGGACGATTTTTTTAATGCAAGCCTCATCCCGCAGCCTTGCTGCCCACTTTGATCGCACGCGGGCCCCGTCTAGACCCAGACTCCCCACGTCGTGATTTTTTCACAACGTCGACCCCCAGAGGTCTGGACCCCTTCCCCGGGACCGGTTTCTCGTCCCGGGTCGTTTTTTGACGGCCCTTGACGGCCCCGAGGCCCGGGAAGGGTCCCCGGAGGGCGAAAATCAACCGCCCGTCGTGATTTGTCCACAGCGCGCGGAGGTCTGGGGAGCAGGCCTCCCCTCAGATCCGACGTAGCGAACAAAATTGCAACCTCGTGAAAATCCGCGCCCGGAGCCCCGGACCCCATCTTTCTGCGTCATTTTCCGAGCCGGATCGATCTGTGAGGGTCCTGGGACCCGAACAAAAAAGCGAAAACGCCCGGCTCGAAAAAAGTGAGCCGCCAGGATCTCAGGGGTCTGCATGCGCGCCGCCGCAGGACTGCGAGGCGGCCGAGCCCCTGGCGCTGCTGCGGAGCCTGGCGGCGCTGCCGGCGGGCCACCCGCCGGCGGGCGAGGCGCTGCGGCTGCTCTGCGTGGCCGAGCGCCTCGCCGGCGAGGACCGCTGGGGCGAGCTGGAGGCGCGGGTGCGAGCGGAAGGGCTTCCAGAGGCCCAGCGTCTTGACAAAAATCCAGGCGGAGGTTTTTCGCACAGTTCGGCCCCCCATGGGGGCCCTCGCTGGGCCTCGGGACCGTCGAGGAGCGACTCGGGATGACAAACCAGTCCTGGGGAGCGGGTCGAGACTTCCGGGGACCCCGTAGCGAAAAAATCACGACATCGGATCTCTGGGGTTGCGATCGGAGTGGCTCGGCGCGTGAGAGTGGCCCCTCGCCGGAGTGGCCTGTCAATTCTCGGGGAAGCGTCGGGCTCGAGTGCGCCGGAGCTCGGAGGTGCCGACGCCTCTTTTGCTGGCGAGCGCGCCCCGGGTTTTGACGGTCCAGTTTTCGTGGGCTGCCTGCAGCGGGAGCTCGCGTCGGATTTCAGACTTGACCTCGTCATATTTTCACGACGGCCCCGTGAGTCAGCCCGAGTCGTAAGTCGGGCATTGTCCCTCCACAGGAGGAGTATTCCAAAATAGTGCAACAAAATAGTATGGGGACGATGTTTCTACCATTTTTGACCATGGGGTATGGTTTGACCATGCTTCACTTTTCCTCGAAAGTCTGCCTGCAGGGGGACATGCCCGACTTAACCCGAGTCACCTGAGCCCGGTCTGTCGGCCTCTTTGTATGTCGTTTTGTGTAGCCGTCTCCGAATTGCATCCTCTGCGGCGCTCCGCCTACCATGATTCGATGAACCACAGCTCGTGCCGTCAGGCTCATCCCCGAAGGGGAGGGGGGGGCGCCCCTTTTATGTTGTTCGTCCTGGATAGATAGTCCGCCCATGCGCGGCCCGCGCTTTCCCACCCGCCAGGTCGTGGTAATCTCCTCCTCCTCCTCCCCCTCCCCCTCCTCCTCCTCCTCCTCCTCCTCCTCCTCCTCCTCCTCCTCCTCCTCCTCCTCCTCCTCCTCCCTCCTCCTCCTCCTCCTCCTCCTCCTCTCCTCCTCCCATATCACTGTCGCAAAGCGACGCCCAGAAGCGTTCACGGCACCGCCCTGAGTGTGAGTTGACCGTTTCTCAGGACCAATTGAACTGAACTGAACTTCTCCTCCTCCTCCTCCTCCTCCTCCTCCTCCTCCTCCTCCTCCTCCTCCTCCTCCTCCCTCTCCTCCTCCCCCTCCCCCTCCTCCTCCCCCCTCCTCCTCCCCCCTCCTGTTGCCGGTGCGGTGCGCTCGAGAGCCCGACCCTCGTGCGGGCCCACGGGGGCTCCCGCCAGCACGGGCCGCCGCGCTCGGCCGGCCTGGGCACGTGGCCGCCGCCCGGGGCCCCCCGGAGGCCGGGCGCCGGAGGCCACCCTCGCCTCTCAAGTCCTCTCAAGTCCGGCCTGTCCCTCTCTCGGCGAGGACCATCGAAGAGCGTCTTGAATGACCGTGCGAGCACATGCACAGGGAATGAGAGGGCGTCCGAGCGATGGCGGGAAGCGGCACGAAGAGACACGAATTCGGCGGTGCGCGCGGTGCGCACAGGAGGAGTATCCAAAAATAGTTTTAAAAATAGTCTGGGGACGGTTTCCGGGTGTTGTCGACCCTGCCGGAGCACTTTGGGATCGTCTTTCGTTTTCCGTCCAGAGCCCACCTGTCGGGGGACATGCCCGACCGAGCTCTTGCCCAGGGTCGCTCTTGCGTGTAGCCGAATGGCACCGCCCACCGAGCCACCCCAACCCAGCCCGAAGGCCCCGATCTGCCCTCCATTTCCAGTGGGGGGGGTCGGAGAACATTGAAAACCCACATATGAAGCCCTGTACTCCCCCCTCCCAACCCGAAATTCGGGTCTTCGGGTTGGGTTGGGGTGGTCTGGTAGGTAGTCAGAGTGGGTCCCAAGAGAACGGGCACTAAGACCGACACCAGTTCACAGTGGGGGGTTCAAGCAGGGGCGAGCTGGAGGTCTGGTACGATCGAAATGGGCACAGAGAGAGCGTCCGAGGAGGAAGCGGCACGCCTACCGCTACCCTTCCCTCGTTTTTCCCTTGCTGGGCCTCCTGGGAGGCGCCCGGAAATTCTGATCAGAACGCACCCCGCGAGAGGTCCGGGGAGTAGCGGCATCGGTACCTTCTGGTTTCCCCAGAAACGAGTACGACGACCGACAGCAGTTCACAGTGGGGGGTTCAAACAAAAGAAGCATTGCGCACCGCATCTCTCCGCTCCGCCTCCGGCAGTACCATCGTCGACGATGCTCGTTCGATGCTGACGATGCTCGTTCGATGCTGCACCGTCGGCAACGAGGTGCTGGGCCTCCATGGACTCCAGAGTGGGGTCCGAGCTGATGGGGTCGGAGGATCGCGCCGCATCGCCGATGCATCGGGCGATGCGGTTCGGGGTGGAGCCCGGTTTTCTCCACGCCGACGTCGGCGGCGCATCGCCGGCGCATCGGCGATGCGGCGCCGTCCTCCGACCCCGTCCACTCCGATCCCATCTGGGGCGCCTCGCGAGGACAGCTGCGGCGAGCTGGGAGTGCTTTCGATGTCTGTGCATGGCAACCTTGGGAGGCGACGCGGAAGTCAGCTTTTCCTGCATTCGGGCCGCGTTTGGGCCTTCCTCCTGCTCCTCCTCGCCCGTCCTGCGCCCCCTCCCCCTCCCCGTTCTTCCCGCCTCCCCTGTTGAAGGGGCGCATCTGGAGGTCTGGAACGATCGACACGTGCACGGAGAGGATTGGCACGAAGACCGACAGCAGTTCCTGTTCGGCCTGCACAGGACCCGCTGTCGGCGCCGCCGCGGACGCTGCCCCTTTGAGACGGGAGGCCGCATGCCCAACGGCGGCCGCCGTCGGTGTTGGACAACATGTGCGGTCGGGAATGGTGCTCACTTTTTCCGTACCCATTTCCGGGCGTCCAGAGAGGTTCAGGCGGGGAAGAAGCACACAGACACCAGTAACCGTCGACCCCCCAGAAGATATCGGAAACTGTGGGAGGTGGGGGGATGAAGGCGAAGACCCAGAAAATATGGGAACATGTGGGGGGCCCTGGGATTTGTGTGCATCTCTTTGTGTGTCCCTGGGCCCCTTCAGAGGTGCTCGAGCACTTGCCGCTGGGCCGGTGGCTGATCCGCGGGGCGCACTTCTCGGAGGACTTCGCCTCCTGCCGCCAGGAGCCGGGGGAGGGCGAGCCGAGGCCGCTGCGTGTGACGTGCGGCCCGAAGCAGAGGCTCCTTTCGGCCCCTCCGACTCGACTGGACTCGAGCTCGATCGATTCCGATTCCGATGCGGTTCGCCCCCGTATTGGGGCGGTCTTCGGGGCCTCTGGGGCCGTCTTGGGGCGATCTTGGGGGCATCTGCGGCCATCTCGGAGCGTCGGAAGCCCGAAAACGCGAGAACGCGAAGAACATCGAAAACCACAAGGAACATCAATGATTGCTGCCTCTTTGGGCCCTCTTGGGGGTCTTGGGGCGTCCTTGGGGCCTCTTGGGCCGTCTTGGGGCCATCTTGGGCGTCTTGGAGCGCTCTTGGGCTGTCTTGGAGGCCGCTTGGACCCTCTTGGGCGCTTTCTGGGGCCCTCTTGGCCCGTTTTGGGGCCCCCTGGCCTCTGGAAAAATCATGTGGGGATGCCCGAGAGCGCGCGAGAGCGCCCAGGAAATTCGGAAATCTGGGGCCCCAGCCCCACGAATACCACCATCCCCCAGTCCCGAGCACAGAGAACAGAGGACACGTGAGAACCTGGGGGTGACGCCACTTCGTGCCTCGAGGCACGGTGGCAGGTGGCAACAGAGAGTTGCAAACGTACGTCTGGCATGGGCAGTCATGCTCCTCTCTTGGGGGTCGACCATCCAGTGGTGGGCCTTCGCGGCGGCCCTCGTCGCCACGGCTGGACGCAGCCCAGGGAGCTTGTGCGGTTGGACCCCAGGAGGGGTTCGGGAACCGATATCTGAGGTGCTCGAGCATCTGCCCCTGGGCCTGCGGCTGGTCCCCAAGGGGGGGAAGTACGATGGACGTGACCAAGATGTCGCGGGGTGCCAGATCTTCATCGAGATGAGTTGTTCAATGGCGGTGTTTCATCGATGTCGGCACTCGGGGGCCATCTGCAAGACCCAGCACCATCAATAAGGAGTACGGGGCGGAAAGCTCCACCTGGGGAAGGGGCTGGTAATTACCTCTGGGGCCGCGGATCAGCAGCGATCGCATCTGCGGATGCCAGGGGACTTGTCGACGCCGATCTTGGTCATGGTCCATGCTGGCCGTCGCCAGTTCGCGGGGGTGATCCACGAGTTGACGGTCACCACGATGGGATGTGGCCAAGATCGGCACCGACTTTTCCGCGCTCGGTCTTGGCCATGGCTCTCATTGTCTCTCCCTCCAGCTCCCCAGGGCACGCTTCGCGGAAGTTTTTCGGCTCATGCCGGAAGGAGGTGGTGGTGCCCATGGACGCCCACGACGTGCTGTCGCTGCACCTGCACGACAGCAGGAGAAGAAAAGGCGGCACAAGCATGCGTTCGTGTCGGACGGAAGGGGGAGCAGAGGATAGGGGGGACAGGGGAAGTGGGGGGGTGCGAGACCTGTTGCACGCAGCTGGTTTCGGCAGCTGCCATCGCGCTCCTAGATTACACTGGCTCCTCCCGCGCCAAGAGGCGCCAGGAAAGTCAGCTTCGTGAGCTGATTCGCTAACCTCCCCTCTGCTAACCTCCCCCTTCGTCCGACCCGATAAACGTTTCGGAGGTCCGCGCGGACTTCTCGGATCGGCGCTGGACCCCATGGGTAGCGCCTCCAGCGTTGCCCCTGGCGCGCTGCGCGCGCCAGGGAGGGGGCCAGCGCCGATCCAAGAAGTCCGCGCAGACCCCCGAAAGTCGATGTGTCTACGCCGCTGTTTCTTCTTCCAGACAGGCTGGCGGAGGCATTTGGCGCCGAGGCCGTCTTCTACGCCCTCCTCGACGGGGGCGATCAGGGGCAACGTCAGGGGGTGGTAGGCCCAGGGGGGGATGCATCGACAACCCCAATTGCCCATTCATCGCCGATTGGGGCCCGATACAGCCCGACCTGCCAGGAACGCGAGGGTTCGCTTTCGCGGGCCTATCGCCGATCTATCGGCGACGCACCGCCCGCTGGCTGTGCAGCCGTCGTTCGGGCGTGCCGCGTAGCTGGTGGCAGTTGTTGCTGCACGCGTGCGAACTTCGGCGTCGGGAGCCATCGGTCGTAGGTCACGCTGGACACGGCCTTGCCCGCTGCGTCCTGGTGCACGTGCCACGGGCCCGTCATCTTGCCCTCGTGCACGCCCTCCACTGTCTGGTGCAGCAGCTCTTCTGTGTCCGGCTCCACGTGCGGCTTGTCTAGCACGTCGGCCAGGGCGTCGTCCCGACGCCTGGGCGCGTCGCGCAGGGCCGCGTCCATGATGCGAGGGTCGGGCCCGCTCGCGAAGGGTAGGGGCGTCGTACACGCCAGTGTCACGCAAGAACCCGGTCATCGGGAGCCCCGCCTGGATGTCGTCGCAGACGGCGACATGTGGGTGCCCAGCAGCCTCCAGCATCCGCCGGTCCAGTGGTCCGTTGCATGCGAGCGGTATAGGACTGCCCGGACATCAGGCGCCAGGTCGTGCCGCCATGTCTGTGCGGCTCTCTCCAGAGAGCGTGCCACCCGCGTCCATCGGTGCACTTGGTGTACCACCCAGTTTTCGAAGTCGGGGCAGGTCTTTATCCACTCCAGCGCGCTGACTACGACACTGAGGGCCTAGGGTATGGGCCCCAGGGGATACGCCCTAGGAAGAGGCACTGGGAGTGGGCCAAGGGTAGGCTTAGAGGTAGCGCTCGGGGAAACTCTAGGGTAGGCCGAAGGGCAAGCCCTAGGGCTGGGCCTGGAGGAGGCGTAGGGTGATAGGCCAGCTGGTAGCTGCTTCCTCGGTTCCAGTGGGCTTGGCGGCAGCGTGCCGCGCTGCCCGTCCCAGGCGCTCCGCACGTGGTCCGCTGGCGTGGTGGCCAGTCGCTAGGCGCAGCGGCCGCCGACTGAGGGTGCGGGGCCCGAGACACGCGGCGCCAGCCACGGTATGTTGTCGCGCGTGGTTCGAGTAGGAGATCACATGTAGAATCGATTTTCCCCCAATTTTATTTTTTCGTCGAATCGCCGAAGGGATACGTAGCAGTCCACGAGCGTTTTACTTCTTCCCTTCTAGATGCGGCGAAGGATCGATTATGTAGTTGATCCCCTACTCCACCCAAGCCCCGAAGCTTTCCGTTTTACCGCGTTCTATTTTCAGCCTTACCGTCTGGCCCACCAAGAGAGTAAGGCCCATCCAATCCCATTTTCTCAGGAGACCGCCCAAAGCCTGGCAAGAGCTACCCTCCAAGCAGTCGAACTTCCCCTCGGCAAATCAGGCCGCAGGCGGCCACGTCGGCTCTAGTTCGGTATGAAGACGCTGGCACCCTCAGACGCTCCAACCTCCTCCTCCTCCTCCTCCTCCTCCTCCTCCTCCTCGATCCTCCTCGATCCTCCCCGATTCTCCTCGATCCTCGACCTGGGGACGTGGCCCCTCAGGCGAGGGCGTGGTCATCTACGAGGTGCGCCCCGCTCCGCTGCTTCCGCCCCTCGCCGCGCGCCCGCTGTGCGAGGCGGCCGTGCCGCCGCCGGCGGCGCTGGCGGCCGCCGTGGCTGCCTTCGAGCAGGATGTGCCCGTGCGTTGGTGCCACTTTCCTCTCTCCTCCTCCTCCTCCTCCTCCTCCTCGCCTCCTCCTCCTCCTCCTCCTCCTCCTCCTCCTCCTCCTCCTCCTCCTCCTCCTCCTCCTCCTCCTCCTCCTCCTCCTCCTCCTGCTCCTCCTCCACTCCTCCTCCTCCTCCTCCTCCTCCTCCTCCTCCTCCTCCTCCTCCTCCTCCTCTTCCTCCTCCTCCTCCTCCTCAAACTCAAACTCGGACTCGTTTCTGAAGGTGCTGGGGCCCAGGTGGCCTGCCCACGAGGGCCGAGATCGAGGAAAAGCGCCCAGAGTGCAAAAATCCCATCGTCGCCGGGGCCTCCCGGCTGGCGCCAGCCCGAGACGTTGGGGGCCTTGGCCTTGGCGGCCCGGGCACGCCTGCGCTCGACCGCCTCCTGATGCTTCCGACGCCCACCTCCTCGGTCTCGACGCCGGGGGCCCGACTTTTTCCCTAAGCCTCCTGTGTCGGGCTCGCGTTCTGGATAGAGCGCGGCGGTCTCCGCTCCTCCTCTCCTCCTGCTGCCTCCTCCTGCGCTGCTCCCTGGGTGGCTGCGAACCGCGCAACGATCGCGGCTATCCAGCCGAGTCGGGGGCCGCACGGACCCAGACGAGACTTCGCTGCTCCCTGGGTGGCTGCGAACTGCGCAACTGCCACCACCTCCGGGGTGCCCGACGAAAGTTGTGGGCTCGACGTTTCCAGCCGCTTTCGGCCGTTTCGTTTTCGGCCTGCTCGGGTTCGAGGCTCGAGGTCTTCGGCCGCTGCGGTTCGAGGCTTGACATGTTCGGTCGTGTAGGATCGAGGCTCGAGCAATTCGGCCGTCTTCGTGCCCCGGGGTGCCATTCCGGCTGCCGCGCCTCGCCGAGGGCGTTCCCGGGGGGCCCAGCTCGCCCCGAGCGGCCGCCAGAGGCCAGAGTCGTGACCCGAGAGCCACCAAGGGGACCGGCTCGGAAGTGGGGTGGGGGCGGCCGGGCGAGGGGGGGGTATGGCCGACATGTTGTTCGGGGAGAGCCGACCTGTAGGAAGAGAGGAGGGGGGGGATGAGGGAGGGGCCGGGCAAGATCGTGGGGCCGAGCTTTTGCCTTGGGTCTGGGGCCGATCTGTTCTATTTCGGGGGGGGCGACGCTTTATTGTTTTTGTAGAGGGGAGAACCGACCCGTAGCGCCCTCCCCAGCCACGCGCAGAGGGGGGTGGGGGGGAGGGGGCAGGGCTTCCTAGAAGCACCCCTGCTTCCTTCTGAGAAGCCCTCCCCCCTCCCCCCACCCTTAAGTCGGGCATGTCCCCCTACAGGCAGATTTTCGACGACGCTTTAAGCGTATTCCAGAAATGCTCGACGATGGTCGAAAATAATCAAACAGTCGTCCCCATGCTACCATTTACTGTTTTGGAATACTCCTCCTGTAGAGGGACACGCCCGACTCAACCCCGCCCCCCTTATGCGCGCCGCCAAGACCTGCAGCGCCCTCCCCTTCCCTGCAGGAGGCGGCGGAGGGCCCCGCGCCCGGCGAGGCCCGCGGCGGGCGCGCCAAGCGCAGGCGCCGCCGGGCCTCCCCAACGGGCTCGACCATGTCCCAACCTACAATGCAACACTTGACGATCTCAAGCCTGTGACGTACCCAGACCCCCCCGCGTTGTGACAAAAATCACGACGGGCGGTTTTTCCATATTTTCGGCCTCGGGGGGCCCTTCCCGGGCCTCGGGGCCGTCAAGAAACGACCCGGGACGAAGAACCGGTCCCGGGGAAGGGGTCCAGACCTCTGGGGGTCGACGTGGCGAGAAAAAATCACGACGTCGGGGGCCTGGGTATACGTGACAGCTTCTCTTGCAGGCGCCCTGCGCGCTGCTCCCCAGAGAGGATCTCGAGCACCCGCAAGAAGCACCGAAGAGCCGGAGGGTCTTCGCGCGTCGGGCCCACTGGGGGGCACTCGTCCGACCCGGTTCCGGCACCGTCTCGGCACTCTCTCGGCACTTCTCCGGGCGCTCGAGATTCGTTCGGGGCGGTGGCCTCGAAGCATGCTGGGAGCAGCACGAGGCTCGACGCAGCCCTGAGGTCCTGGCGCGGCAGGGCCTCGGCCAGGATCGAGTCGGGCGTGTCCCTCTAGAGGAGGAATATTCCAACACAGTGTGAAAACATCAGGGGGCGATTTGTTTCACTATGTTTGACAATTTTTGAGCATGTCTGGAATATTTTCCATTTTTCGTCGAAAATCTGCCTGTGGGGGGACATGCCCGACTTAAGGCTAGGATTGAGTCGGGCGTGTCCCTCTACAGGGGGAGGAGGAGAACACGCCCGACTTAAGGCTAGGACGAGAACGATGTTGTGACAAGACTGGCGCAGGATTCCCCAGGATGCGTTCCAGGACTTCCAAGAGCATTCAGCGGCCATCGTTTCTGGAGCCCGCATGGAACGTTTGGGCACTCCTGCGCGAAGCTGGGGGTGGTCACAGCTGGCCGTCCCCGTCGCCCATATCGGCGCACCACTCACACGTTTCGTGACCCCATAGAGACTTCCACCTAAGGCCCCAGTGGTGCCGTTCGCACGCGTCCCCGCCACCCTTTTCGGTGCACTCCTCACGCGTTTCGTGGCCCCATTGGAAGCTCCACCGAAGGCCCCAGTGGTGCCGTTCGCACGCGTCCACGCCACAAATCCCCCCGGTTCCCTGGGGAGGGGGCGGGGAAATTTGACCCCCCCTCCCTGGCCCCTCCGGTTTCCCGCAGCGGGGGAGGAAAGTGTTCCAGTCAAGCGATGGCGATCGCGCTCCTTCCATCTAAAGTTAGGCCCTGGGACCATCACGGATCGATCCATTTGGAGAAATGCCGCATGAAAACGTAGTCTAGGGCTCGGCTCGAGTCGTGGTTTTCACGATGTTGCAATCTTTTCGTGACGTCGGATCTCAGGGAGATGGGGTCGGAGGATCGCGCCATATCGCCGATGCGTCGGCGATGCGGCTCGTTGTATGCAGCCCAATGTTTTCCACGCCGACGGCGCCGAAGCAGCGCTGATTTTCGGGGAAACAACCAATGGCATAAACTTGAACTTTTGGAGGTCCGCGCGGAGTTCTTGGACAGGGAGCGCGCCAGGGGCAGCGCCGGAGGTGCCGCCAGGGGGATCCAGCGCCGACCCGAACAAATTCGCGCGAATCTCCGACACTTGATCGTCACGGCATGTTTTGTCCTCCTAGATGCATCGGTGATGTTTTGACGAGGTGCTGGCGATATGTGGCACGATCCTCCGACCTCGTCTACAGCCAACACCAGCGATAAGGGCGGACCCTACGACAAGGGCAACTTGCACCCTTCAGTTTTGACAGTCTGGGCGCGCCGCACTCTTGGTGTTCGCGCCGTTCCGAGGGCCTTGTATCCTTGAGCTCCATCCTTAGCGTTGATTGCACGGTGGCCGATGCGTCGCCGATGCATCGCCGATGCGTTGGCAATGTGCGGCGCGACCCCGTCGTTCGCAGGCGATGTTTTTCCCCAATCCCCGAGTTCCGCCCGAAATGTTTGGCCGCCCAGGAAAATTTGGAAACCCTAGGAGGATACACCCCAAGGGGGCCATTCGGACACACCCTTATCTAGGATGGACGCCCTCTCGTCGTATATATCCCAGGGTTGGGCCCCAATTTGTTGTATCCATTCGAAAACACCACGAAGCCTGGGATAGGGGTCGACAGATCCCCTGGTAGAATGCAGGCTCTATCGTCCTGCGGCAAGCGCGTCTGGTTTGCCTTGGTTGCAGCTCCGCCTGCCTTGTGCGCTTCCTTTCTTCTCCGCTGAAGGTGGCACCGAAACGGGCACCGGGCTCCTGCGCTCCTCCATGACATCTAGGAGTCCAGTGGACCCACACGCAACGTGCATCCGCAATTCCTCGTTCTCCTCCTCCTCCTCCACCTCCTCCCTGCGGGCGCGCGCGGAGCGAACCCGCCCAGGGTGCCGAGACCCCTGGCACGCTTGCGCGCGCCTGAGCACGCGTGTTAAATTCTTCCTCCTCCTCCTCCTCCTCCTCCTCCTCCTCCTCCACAGCCTGGCGGGAATGCCAGTGGCCTCGCGTACTTTCGACACGTCGGAGGCGGAGGTTCTGCCCTCTGGGACACGGCCCGGCGGCGATGCCGGCGGTCCTGCACACCTACCCCACCCACGAGGCATGCGTCTCTTGGACAACCTGATGTTTTCATTCGATTCGTCGGAGGGTTGAACCTCCGGGACACAGCCCTGCGGCAATGCAGGCGGTCCTGCACGCCTAACCCAACTACGAGACCAGTGCCTACTGGAGAAAGATATGGCGGTAATGCCGAAGGTCTTGTCTTCATTCGCTTCGTCGGAGTTTGCGTTCTCGTGGACACAGCCCGGCGGCAATGCCGGCGAGCCTTCACACCTACCCCACTCACAAGGCATGCGTATATTGGACACAGCTTGTTGTTTTCATTCAATCCGTCGGAGGTTTAACCTCCAGGACATAGCCCGGCGGCACTGCCGGCGGTCCTGCACGCTTGCCCCACCTACGAGACAAGCGCTTCACATATTGGCGGTAATGCCAAGGTCTTGTCTTTTTTGTTTCGTCGGAGACTCTGTTCTCTTGGACACAGCCCGGCGGCAATTCCGGCGGTCCTGCACACCTACCCCACTTGCGTTGCGATCGGTACTTGCGACCTCCCAGGAGCCCAATGGAGAATGCAACAGTTTGTTTACTTCCATTCTGGCGTGCCCTCCCCCCCCTCTCTTCCTGCTCCTCCGCCTCCCCCTTCCCCCCATCGCGCGGGGCATGCTGCGCAAATGGGGGCAAACATTCACTCTAATTTTCCCGGTGCTGTGCGCGGCGACCTGATGCCTCCAGAAAGTGTCCTCCCAAGCTCGCCGCGCGACGGCCACCAGGACGTCGGGCATTGGCGAGAGGCATGCCCGTTCGAACGGTATAGACAGGGTTGTGCGACCCCAGGTATCAACCCTGACACGGTAGCGTTGCACCGCCGGGGAAAAAATGCATGTGCTACGCTTGCTGCTACCACACTCACGCGTAGGTAGGAGCCCCCCCCTTTCTCGGCATCGCGTCAGTATCTCGGCATCACATCGCGTCGGTGGCGGTCGCCGCAGACCATCGGATCAAGTCTCTGCCACCTCCTGTCCGCCTTCCTGCGCGCTTGCGGGACAGTCCAAGGCCAGCTTGCTCAGATGGCTGACGGACCCTTCACCCAGGCAGCCTATGCCAAGTGCCGGGTTGCAGCGGCCGCCTGTCCGGCGGACGGGACGTCAAGTGCAGCAGGGGATCGATGTGCGGAACGACGCTCAACCGCTGGGTACCGTGGCAACCGTCCGTGCGCCCGCAGCTGCACCCAGGCAACCGCCAATGCGCCCCGACCGTCAATGCCCTCATCCAGGGATCCCAGGAGGCGACCGTTTAGGCGCCACAGGGCTCCTCAACGCCGATCGGCCAGTGTCACCCTCGGGAGGCGACCACCTCTGCCTCCGCCATCTTCCGCACAAGCTCCGCTGGCATCCCACGAGCACCGAAGGCCGGGAAACGTTTTCCGGTCACTTGAAGACCGAGCTACGTTTGCACCCCCCGTGGGGCGGACAAACCGTGGCCCCCTTGGGAACGCACATTGGTGCTTGAATTCGGTTTGATGCATTCTGTCGGCACCAACGTTGACATAAAATGGGACTCACTTTTACAAGCACTTCTGACACATCATGCTTGGGTCCATCATCTGTCGTCCCCTCATGCTGGGACGTCTACCCCACGTGCGTTGACCCCTCGGTCACGGTGCTACGACGCAGAGGTGGCTGTCACAGGAAATGCGCTACACGCATATCACCCACCAGTATCAGGTGCCACCATCAGTCCCTGCCCCAAGCTCTGGGACCAGAAGGTATGCAACCCCAACCTTCACATCGAGCACCTACATCAAGGGTGAGAGAGCCCAAACGCCCCATCCGATTCAATAGATTATTCCTACGCGTAAGGGCATCAGCACTACACTGCAATTCTCCCTCTCCTCTTCCTCCTCCTCCTTCTCCTCCTCATCCTCCTCCTCCTCCTCCTCCTCCTCCTCCTCCTCCTCCTCCTGCTCCTCCTCCTCCTCCTCCTCCTTCTCCTCCTCCTCCTCCTCCTCCTCCTCCTCCTACCCCTCCCCCTCCCCCTCCTCCTCCTCTTCCCTCCCTCCCCCTCCTCCTCCCCCTCCTCCCCCTGGCATAAGGGGTCACCATATCCCCTCTTAGTCGGCTGGGGCCCCGTTCGGGAGGCCTCCAGGCGCGCAGAGGGGCGCGCCGGCGCCCCGGCCGCAGCCGCTGCCGGCGGTGGCGGCGCGGGCGCTGCCCTGGGAGGCGGGGCTGCGGGGCCGGCGGCCGCGGAGCCGCCACGCGCCGCGGCGAAAAAAGATGCAAAACCATGCGAGCGGGAGGGGGAGGGGGAGGGGGAGGAGGAGGGGGAGGAGGAGGAGGAGGAGGAGGAGGAGGAGGAGGAGGAGGAGGAGGAGGATGGGGGATGGGGATGGGATGAGATGAGGATCAGGATGAGGA